TTATGGCCTGGCGCCCATCCCCGACGAAGAACCCGAGCCCCCTTTCCCCCTCGAGTAATCTTCCCGGCTGCGACCGGTTGAATTATTTTGTAAAACTTCAAACTCGTTCTCCCGGGAATGCCCGGTGTATCTGTAAACATTTGACATGCTTGTTCCGTTTGAATGCCATGTTTAATTTGCCTACCGGTTAATCTTTCATATCTGCTTGCTTGTTGATCTATACTTTTATCTTGCTCCTTAGAATATCATCCTAGAAATTCTGGCCGGTACGTAGATCAACCATTACCGCGTTCGACCGGTATAACTTCAAAGTTCTCTCTGGTCACTTCAATTTTCGCTTTTCGAAAGTCTGACCGGCCGAACTTTACTTTTGCCCTTTGGATAACTTCACCAATTCTTTTGTTAAAAATTACTTTGACCGGTGAATTCCAACTCCATGGTTTGACCGGTCAACTACCTTGCCTTTCGATGGATGTAGAACTTTCGAAGTTCTGTTGTGACCATACCCGACCGGGGTATTCTTTTTTTTTTTTTTATCGGTAGGTTGTAGATGGAAACACCTGTAACCTAGTTATTCTTGAAGTATCCTTAACCGGTAAGAATACTGGAGATTTGACCAGGTCGAATGGTTTCGAACCCTCTCCCAGGTCCAAATGCACCCTTCTTCCAGGGCTCCCTCTTCCGGGTGATTAAGTCTTTTAATGGCCCTTTGATTTCTACCATCTCGGGAAGGCCTTAGCTCACCCCCCCGTTCAAGTCTTCCCTTAGAAGGGGGAAACAGGATGCGCCACGGTGGACGATCCCCTTCTATTTCTTTTGATGGGCATCTTTTAATCCCCAATCAATTTGACGGCGTCGGCTGATTCCCCGACACCAGTCAAACCTCATGGGCCCGTGTAAGTACGGTTCGAACCCTCTTCCAGGTCCAGCCCTCTTGCAGGCATACCCTCTTCCGGGTTTTAATATTTTTTCTATTATACTGAGTGAGACCGGTGTAGTAACCAGCGTGCCAGGTCCGGGCCTGTGTCTCAGTCGGCTTATCTAAGTGGATTCGATCCACCCAGGAAGCCCTCCTAGGATAGGTTCGACCTATCAATTCTGCCGCTACCAAGTAGAGTATTGAACATCACTTTGATTGATAATGAAGTAGGTCTTGCCTAGTATTACAATCATTTGTAGAACTTGCGAAGATGATGGGAAATCCAGGTTCTTTCTACCGGTACACCTTCAAGAGTTTCTAACCGGTAGGTTCCCGGGCGAATGATAGCTCCCACCCGGTAAGGTCCTTCCCAGTTTTTGGCCAGCTTTCCTCTGTCTCCCGGTCTACTAGCCTCCCTTCTTCGCAGGACTTCATCGCCGACTTGAAAGTATCGCGGCCCAACCTTGTTGTCGTGGTACTTCTTCACGACTTGTTGATATGTGCTCATTTTAACTTCCGCGGCCATTCTCCGCTCTTCGACCAAGTTGAGTTCGGCCAAGTGGTCTTCTTCATTTTGTTGGGGTTGATAACTTGATTCCCGGAACGTCGGGAATTCAGCTTCGATGGGCAGCCTTGCTTCACACCCATAGGTTAGGGAGAATGGAGTTTCCCCGTGAGCCCTCCTAGGTGTTACTCAGAACGCCCATACGATGTGTGGGAGCTCTTCCAGCCACTTGTTTCCTGCTTCTCCCAGCCGTTTCTTTAGACCATCCACAATCGTTCGGTTGGCGTTCTCGACTTGGCCATTCCCTTGGGGGTACGCTACCGAGGAATGATTGTGCTTGATCCCGAAGCCTTCCAAGTATTCAGTGAATCTCGGATTTCGGAATTGTGGGCCGTTGTCGGTGATGAGGTTCATGGGCGCTCCAAACCTCGTGATGATGTTCTTCCAAACGAATTTCTTGCATTGTTGCGTGGTGATGTTGGCCAATGCTTCGGCCTCGATCCATTTGGTGAAGTAATCGATGGCTACGATCACGAACTTCTTCCCTCCTTGGGCGACTGGGAAGGCTCCAATGATATCAACCCCGAATCTAGCGAATGGGATGACATTTGATACGGGGTGATAGTAGGTTGCTGGTCTACCGGGGTACTTGTAGAACACTTTACATGTCCTACATTTCTGTACATACCTCTCACAGTCCTGGACGATTGTCGGCCAGTAATACCCCAACAAGATAATGCGCTGGGAAAGCATACGGGACATTTGATGCGCCGCGCATACGCCTTCGTGGACTTCCGCTATGACTCGCTCAGCCTCCTGGTTGGTTAGACATCTCAGGAGTGGCCCCCCAAATGCCCTTTTATACAGCTTTCCATCAAGAATTTGGAATCGGGGTGCCCTGAGCTTCACTTTTCTTGCCCGGTCATCTTGTTCTGGCAAGCTCCCATCCGTCAAATATTCCATCAGATCATACATCCAATGGTCGTCCGCCCCGACCAAGTTTGACCGGTCAAACTGGCTTCCGGCAGTTATAGCGGCGACTTCCAATTTCTCGATGCTTGCACGGTCAAGGATCTCTACCCGGGCAAGTTTCGAAACATGCTCGGGAGCATACTGCGTCAATTTGGAGAGAAGGTCTGCATCCGCGTTCTCCGCCCGGGGAATCTGGGCGATCTTGAATTCTTCGAAGCCCCTCAACAGGGCAAGTACAAGGTCCTTGTATTGTGCCATGCGTCCCTCCCTTGCCTCCATGTTACCGGTCACCTGCCCAACTATTAGGCTAGAGTCAGATTTGATACTGACCCGGCTGATTTTCAGGGTTTGGGCAAGTCTGAGCCCTCCAGCCAGAGCTTCATATTCTGCCTCATTGTTCGTTAGTTTGAAGTTGAAGACGATTGCATGATAGATCTTGAATCCTTCTGGTGTGGTGAACACGATACCACCCCCGTATCCTCTAGGACCGGATGCCCCATCAACTGCCATCTCCCACCATTGCTCAGTGGGCTTGTTGACTGGTAAGTCTGGAGTTCGACCGGTCATTTCTACTAGGAAATCGGCAAGGGCCTGTCCCTTAATTGCCGACCTCGGCCGGTACTCAATGTGGAATTGAGTTAACATCATCGCCCACTTCACCATCCTCCCGGAGGACGTTGAATTTCGCAACACTGCACCCAGCGGTTGGTCAGTCAAGACTTCTACCGGGTGAACTTGGAAGTAGGATGTTAACTTTTTTGCGGAGATGAAAAGCGCATAGGCTGTCTTTTCCATCGCCGTATACCTACTCTCAGCCCTGTTTAGTGCTTTGCTCACATAATAAATGGGCTTGTTTGCCCCATCATCTCTTATTAAAACGGAGCTTACAGCATTTGGGGAAATTCCCAGGTACAGATACAGAGTTTCACCCGGTTCGGGTTTAGACAACACAATATCCGACGCTAGGTACTCTTTCAGCTCCTCGAATGCCCTCTTCGTCCCATGCAAATGTGTTGGCCTTCTTCAGAACTTTGAAGAAGGGCAGTGATCTCTCAGCTGACCGGGAAAGGAACCGGCTGAGGGCCGCTAAACGACCGGTCAACTTTTGAACATCCCTAACGGAGGTAGGGGCTTGCATTTCAGTGATAGCCCGGATTTTCTCTGGGTTGGGCTCTATCCCTCTTTTGGTCACCATGAATCCCAAGAACTTCCCGGTACGAACCGCGAAGACGCATTTCTTAGGATTCAGCCGGAGGTTGTACCTTGCCATGATATCGAACGTGGCTCGCATATCAGCTGGGTGGTTCAGAGATACCTGGCTTTTGATCAGCATGTCGTCGACGTATGCCTCCATGGTCTTTCCCAGTAGTGGCTTGAAGAGCTTGTTCACCATGCGCGGGTAGGTTGCCCCCGAGTTCTTCAAGCCAAACGCCATTACCCGGTAGCAGTAGGTTCCTTCGGGTGTGAGGAATGATGTCTTCTCTTCATCTTCCTTGGCCATGTAGATTTGGTGGTAACCCTTGAAGGCATCCATGAAACTTAGGAGTTCGCACCCCGCAGTTTCGTCCACCATTTGATCTGGACTGGGGAGGGGGTATGAATCCATCGGACAAGCCTTGTTCAAGTCCNACCAGCTGGGGCTGGAAAGGTGATGGTTGCGGCATCGGCGTCTGGAACAACGTCACCGCCATCGGAGCTTGTAGGGGCATGGTCCCCGCGCCTGGAAGGGCGAATGGGAACATACCAGGGAGGAAAGGCATCCCCCCGTTCTGTTGGCACATGGCCATGACCTGGCCAAAGCCCTGGATGGCTTGTAGGTTGGCTGGGTCATTCATGAACTGAGTCATGCTTGGTGGGAACGTTATCCTCAGTCCAGCGGAAGGGACGGGGGTCACGAAGGGACTGATCACGCTGGCCGTCGGGACAGAGCTCAGACCCAGAGGCAACACTGGGGCTGAAATGACCGGTATGGTAGCAGCCACAGGGATGCTGGCTCCCTCGTTGGTGGCCTGCACCTGAGCGGAAGTAGCGTTGATTTGTTGGCTGGAAGACATTTCGAGTGGTGTTTTGGTGGGTAGGTTTGTGTTTAGGAGAAGAAACCTTAACGGTCCCACGGGTGGCGCCAAAAATGATGGTGTAAATTACTTGAGCGGTCAAACTATACTAGACCGGGTCTAGAATAGTTCGCTTGATTTGGCAAAGTAAGAAAGGTAAAAACACGCTAAGTGACCGGTAGGACTTTAGGTGGAACACCTGTAGCCCAATTTATATTATAACGGAGAATGCACGGGTGCTTTTACAAAGGAGTTTAGAGAGAGTGAAAATCGGATCCTTTTTCTGAGGTTTACAAGGGGTATATATACTAAGCTGGGGGGACAGGTCCACGTGCGCCCACGTGGGAGCACGCTGCTGATGTGGTGCGAGATGACTGTCCCTGATCCGCCTTGTCATCTTGCGAGGGGGATTACCCTCCTTGTCACGTTCTGGCTTGGAAATATTCCTCCAGCATCTCTGCAATTCCAGCCACTACAGTCCAAGTCCTTTTGGACTCCTCCTGCCGACACTCCCCAATCTCTAAAAGTTGCACCGGTTGATTTCTGAAGGTTTGGATCAATTGTCTTCGGAATTGGTTCCTGCTGATGGAGTAATCTGACCGGTATACTATCCGAAGTGTACCGGTCAACTTTTTGGTCAATCGGTGGTCCATTTGCCGACGATTCAGATCTCTCTTTAAAGTTTGACCTCTCTGACCGGTCAACTATCCGGTCCTGACCTTTGACCGGTCGTGGGTGAAATACACCCATCAATAATCAATCATGCTACGAGTACACTAAAAAGTGTATCTCAAGTTGCACCCAAAAAAATGAACCGATATTTTAACGGTTTACACAGGCACAAAATGTTAGTTCACTTAAAAAAATTGCACTAACATTTTTTATCATTGTAAACCACCACCATACAAATGGTCAGTGCATGCATTTGGAGTACAAAATAAGATACAAATTTTGGCATAGAAATAGTTTAATCTATTTACAATTGGTTCATTTATGAAATCTATGAAAATGCATGGATGTTACCATATATTCTGTCTTTTGTCAGCAACTTAAATACTCCCCTCTCCCTCTGATACTTTCGCCTCACAGATTTTTTTAAGATTTAAAAATACTATTCCATCCGTCCCAAATTGTAATGCATGTTCACTATTCACATGGTCAAATTTTATTCACTTTCTTTCTCAATTTTCATTAGCAATTTGATAAAATAAAATATTATTGTCACTACTAGTTTTGTAGATCTTTTGATTTAGTATTTTAATATGTAATTTTTAATTTTTAATTATATATCATTTGTCATATAAAATGATTTGAAAATAATTTCAGTCAAACATCGTAAACCGAAACAGGCGTTATAAAATGGGACGGAGGGAGTATTATGATGTAAGAGTATGAGTGACGGAGGGTGTGTAAAGTGGCTAACAGTGCAGGGCCCATAAAATTTTAGGTCTCATAATTTTAATATTTTTATTAATTTTGAGTCATAAGTATTCTAAAATAATCTAATAAGACCCAAAATGTAAATTTCCAACCAGACTAATTTCATTTTTTTTCATTTTTCGAGACCGGCCCTGGGTAAGAGGATCATAGAGCAAATAGTTTAATTAGCTAATTTTTGGGGATGACTAATCTATTATATACTCCCTCCGTCCCTGAAAATTTTTCTCATTTTCTTCATCCTTCCCAAAAAATACTTCTTATTTCTATTAAAAAACAACTTTTACCCCTTACTTTTTCATACCCTACATATCACATCATACATTTTTACTAATTATCTATTCATCAAATCATACTTTTACCCATCACATCAAATGATATTTTTGGAGATTCAATGCCAAAGTATTCCTTTAAATCTTTCTTCAAAATCAAAACTTTCATATTTTCCGGGACGAAGGTAGTATATAAAAACACAGTCATAAACTACTCATCCAATTTACCCGCCAATTACATAAATCTACGGCCCAATTTTCTTGCTTTAAAATTTGAAAGAAATCATGACCCAATTTTAATTTACACGTTAAAGGACAGATCGTGTCCATTGGTTCTCTTCCACATCCCAATTTTAGAATGTACTATCTCCGTCTCATTGTCTTTGTCCAGTTTTGACTTTTGAAACTATTCATGTAAGCACTTTGACTCATCAAATTCTCTCAATGTGTAAGCCTAAAAATAGTTATGTGTGATCTTGTTTGATTCGTCTTAACATATAGATTATTAATATATAATTTTTATAATTTTTTAATATACAAATTATAAAATAAAATAGATTAAAGAAGTGCATTGGATGATGTACCAAAAGGTAAGTGGACAAAGACAGTGGGATGGAGGGATTATTTCAATAATAATTTCAACTTTTATTGTGATGCATAATAATCATAACTTTACTGAAATTTGTGAGTCTTGGGACATTGTTATATTACTAACAGTGGGTTAATGGAACGACCTGTTTTGCACAACAAAATAAAAGTTGAGATTATTTTTTGATGAATATTCAATTTTATTTTGTTTTTTTAAAACTTTTATTTAAATTTTTAAAATGATGTCTGCTTCAATTTTTTCCTTTTTTAAAGATCAGTCTTATTTTATAAAAAATAAAAAAATATATAAAAGCATCGAAAATGAACAAAATCACTAAAATCATACAAAATTAATGAATAAATAAGGTAATCAATAAAAATTAAACTGAATTTGTAAACAAACAAAATAATAATATAACGAGTTAAATGCTCTAACAATTTACCATTTTTACGCACTATACAGACTGTTAATGATATAATGTACTACTTGTTTTTGAAAGAATGGGTAAAATTATAATTATTCTAGATAAATTTTCCTAAAAATAAGAAATAGTGATACATTAATACTTTGTATAGTGCGTAAAAATGGTAAAACTCACAATTCCATAGATTTTTATTTTATTTTTTTACCAATTTCAAATTCATTTCTATTGATTCTTTAATTTTTTTTTCAATTTTTTTTTATAATTTTAGTTATTTTTCTCATTTTCATTAATTTTTATATCTATTTTTTTTACTTTTATCCAAAGTTAGACTAATCTTTAAAAGAATGGAAATAATGGAGGTAGAAAGTCATTTTAAAAATTGAAATTAAAATTTCGAAAAAAAAATAAAAATGAAAACTAATAAAAAATAATCCCAACTTTTATTTTGTTGTGCAAAACAGGTTGTTTCCATTAACTCGCCGTTAGTAATTTAACGACGATCTAAAATTCACAAATTTTAGTAAAGTTGGGATTATTATGTATCAAATGAAAAGTACGATTAGTTTTGAAAAAACGCGTAAAGCTGGGGATTATTCTGAATATTTTTTCAAAAAATAAAAAAATACTCTTTTCATCCCAAAATGGATACTATTGTTATTATTATAGTCCCTCGAGGACTTTTCTTTGTAAATTTTCATTGAAAATTTGATTAAAAATATTCTTGTCACATATTGTTTTATATATTTTTTATTTACTTTTGAACAGTATAGTTTATACTTTTTATGTACTCCATGTTTTTTAGAAATAGAGAGTAAAATTTTGATCTTTCATCACAAACAAGTGTTTTATCACACTTGTTGATTTTTTGGTGTATCACAAGAATCACGAACTTTCTCTGTCTGTTTAATGATTTAAATCCATCTAATTAATTTTCGTTCCCTCCAAAGAAATCTGACCTAAAGGAAATTTGGTCTTTGCGAATCAATTCTTGGTTTTCTATCTGCAAAGAAACACATTTTTCCCCTTGAGTTGCCCCTTTTGAGTTACATTTGTTGGTTTTAGTAATAAATAAAAAATACCTCTTTCATCTTAAAATGGATACTATTGTTATTATTACGACTCTCAATAACTTTATTTTGTATATTTTCGTTTGAATGGTATAATTTGTTTTTTTAATTTACTCTCAACTTGTACAGAAATAAAAAGTAAAATTTTCATCTTTCTTCACAAACAAGTGTTTTTTGACACTTGATGATTTTTTCGGTCTGTATCACGGGAATCACGGTCTTTCTCCATCCGTTTTACGATCCAAATCCATCTAATTAATTTCCATTCACTCCAAGAATCAACATATCTGCCAATCAAATCTTGATTATTTCCCCTACAAAGAAGTTCTTTTTGCCACTTGAGCTACCCCTTTTGGTTTTATAATTGTTGACTTTAGCGATAAATAAAAAACATATCCTTGTCATCCCAAAAATGATACTTTTGTTTGTATATATAAATATTCTTACCATATATTGTTTTATATATTTTTATTTAATTTTGAACGGAGTAATTTCTACTTTTTATCTGTTCTCTGTTTTTTAGAGATAAAGTGTAAATTTTTTTTCATCTTTCATCACAAATAAGTGTTTTTTAAACTTGTTGATTTTTCGGTGTGTTTCACTTTCTCTGTCTGTTTTACATTCTAAATCCACCTAATTAATTTATTTAAGCAAAAAACATGAACTAATTGAAATTGTGGTACGTGTGAATCAATTCTTGGTTCTTGTCTTTGCAAAGAAACACATTTTGCCACTTGAGTCATCCCATTTGGGTTACAATTGTCAGATTTTAGCGATTAATAAAAATATACTCCTTTCATCTCAAAATGGATAGTATTGTTATTATTACGGTCTCTCGATAACTTTTGTTTGGATCATTTCTTTGATAATTTGATAAAATAAAATATTTTTGTTGCATATTTTTTTATATATGTTTTTTATTATTTTTGAACGATATAATTTATATTTTTTTATTTACTCCCTAAGTTTCATAAATAGAGAGTAAACTTTTCATCTTTCATCACAAACAAGTATTTTTTTCACACTTGTAAATTTTTTCAGTTTGTATATATCATGAAATTCACAATCTTTCTCTGTTTGTTTTACGATCCAAATCCACCTAATTAATTTCCACACTCCATGAAGCAAGAAATCGGGCCTAATGGAAATTGTAGTTTGTGCGAATCAAATCTTAGTTCTTCTCTCTACAAAGAAGCACATTTTGCTAGTTGCCCCTTTTGGATTACAATTGTCTATTTGAGCGATAGATACAAAAACACCACTTTCATCCCAAGATGGATACTACAAATATTATTACGGTTTCTCAATAACTTTTGTGTTTTTGTATATTTTCATTGATAATTTGCTAAAATAAAAGGTTTTTTTCACATATTGCTTATATATATATATATATATATATATATATATATA